TTTATTCCAGCTGAGAGTCTGACCTAAAATGTGTAGCACACATGACTGGATCTTTCTGATACCTTTACGCACCGAAAGAGGGTCAGAGCACAAATCCTTCATGAAGAGCAAGCAAAAAAGGAGGATTTCTTCCACGAACTGCATTTTTTTACTTCTGTACTTTTTTATAAAAGGAACCAATGGCACAACTACAGTGAATGTATACTCTGGCTCTCAAATTTTTTATTATCCACTTATGTTTTCCTTGCAGTGGGATTTAAGAATGCCTCTTCATTGAGACAAGTAGTATGTCATCATTTTGTTGAGCTAACAGGCCTGACAGTCTTGTCTCTTTGAATTAAGGACACTACAGCTCCATTTCTCTTATTACTGGGAAAAATCAAGGTGGAAAAGAGTGGCAGAAAAAGAAAAAGGGAGTTAGCCAACTGGCAGCAAGTTCTTTAACAATTCTTCTGCCCCCCTCCCCCTTTTATTAACCAGTGATCAATTTATTTCACCACAAAATTGTCTCCTTACCAAAAACAACCTAAAATAAGATCTTTTCCACATTGTATAACAACGTACGGGAATGCACGCCTTTTGTATTTTAACAAACATCTTCTCTATTCACCATTTCTCTTGTCTTTTTGATCTTTTCCCTACTTATCATGTTCTTTATTTGAAACAGATTTTTAACAGATAATCTCAATCGTTATAACAATATCTTGCTTGCATTTTATTCAAATAATTCTTAAAAACAGCTTAAAAAGCCGTTTGGAATAACATCAAGCTTGCCATCAATCAAATGAAAAAATTCCGCTGGCGGTTGTATAAACATCAGATCAACTCTGATGTCTTCAAGGATTTCAGAGTGAACCATAAAAAACTCCATTAACTTCTGACAAAGAATGCAAATTAATCACAACATGGGGTGAAATGAAATTAAAGGCTCTTTTCTAATCAATGACAAGGCAGGATGAAATATTTGTTACTCTCTCGCTCTGTACTCAGGCTGCCTAGATATTTGCACTTTCCTTCCAAAGACCCAAATGTAAGGTGTGAGCACAGATTCACCCACAGTTACTGGTTAGCTCTCCCCACCCCCAGAGCTATCTGCTTACAAGTCGCTGAGATCCACAAAACACACTAATCATCTGAATCTCAGGTGCATCCAATTTGTTATTCACACTCTCCCATGCCAGTGAAAAGCCTGGCGCAGACAGATGCACCAGGAACCTTAAATGACAGTTTTGGCCTCCGGAAGTGCGATCGCTACAGCAAAATCTAGTACAGCCTCCAGGTGAAATGTCTGGAGCTCCATATGGAGCAGGGAAAATTAACAACAAGATGAAAATCGCTGCAGCAGCAGGGAGTCTGAATTTTTTGAAAAAAAAAAAAAGAAATTTAAAGATGAAGAAAGAGAAGTAATAAATTAATGGGGTGTGAAAACATTCAAAGCTTTACAATACCAGGGGCACTATTTGCTCAGAATTTTTTTTTGGGGGGGGAGGAAGACATGACAGGGGAAGAAAGGCCTTTTTTTTTTTTTTTTTTTAAACTTCAGGTCATTTTGAAGTAATTTATTAACTAAGGTCTGAAACTGTAGCCAAAAGGAAGGAAAATGTTTTTATACAAAAGTACTTTATATAATTTGTTGTAATCTATACTTTCCAGTAGTTTAATAAATCCAGGGCTACTAAGCGTTGTTTCTTTCTTTAGAATGTTTCTCTAATGGATCTATCTTCCTGTTAGCACACGGCATCACCATAAAATGGTATGAATAGAAGCTGAGAATAGTTATCAGGCGATTCTTTTTATTTCTCCTAAATTGCATTATCATTAAACAATCCATTGTCCTCTATCATGTTTTTATTTAATCTACTGAATTTGGATCTACATGATTAACTATACGTATCTCAGTTTCTTTAGACTCTGCAAACCATCAGAGTTTCAACTTTAAATTTAAGCAAATAATAAAACTGAAAATGCTGTGAAGTTCCATGGTCTTTTAGTTTTCTACAGTTCCTTTCACACAGATACACAAATTGCCCCTATAATCACATTAAATTACTGTTAAACTTTTAAAAGACAGCTACAAACTTAGTTACCCTAAGCCATCCTCAGCTATTTAAAATACTGACACTATACACTAAGTACTGCATTTGATAGAAGGGATTTTGATTTCATTTTTAAATGTTTACATATGAAGGGATTTTGATTCGAAAGAGTCTGTTTTTCTTCTCTGTGTGTGCGCAATTCCCATTAGCGTTAATAGAGTTATGCAAACACATCAGGGGAAGAATATACCCTTAAGTGCTTATGTTTATATCCAGAGAAAATCCTATGAGCGTCATAGTCTACTTCTTCCAAAAGGAATTTTACATTACAGCAAACAAGTAACAGCGCATCGTGATAATGTGTCTGGAAAAAAACATTAAGCAATTCAGAAAGTTACTGGATTTTCACTAACTAGCTTGTTTGTATAAAGTTTTTATATATCAGGGTCTGTTCCAATGAGCAACATATTTTATGGTTTTTGTATAAAATTATACCTTGGAAAGGGAACTACAAACACAAACCATAATATATACTACTTATTCAGAATCCTTTAAACACTTATGTACAGGGACAACTTTCCTGATGTGAATAATTACTTGCATGCTAAAGTATGAGCAGGATAGAGCCCTAAATAGAAACATACATGACTAAATAATGTTTATGTGACAACTTAGTAAATATTTGTAATCTGCAAGCTCATAAAGCATTCTGAAAGTGAAAAGTGCTAAACTATCATTTAAATATTCAACATAGGCATGCAAATCCATCCTTTAGTCTTGCTGGCATATTGGTAAGAGACAAAAGAGAAAGTTAACCTTTCTGAATGCCTTGATTATGGGCAGTTTCCATATAATCATAAAACTTACATTATATGGATACAAATAAACTAATTTGTTTTTTCGTTTGTTTTCTGTTTTAAAGAGGAGAAGAGTAATAATGCTTTCAGGTATAACTGTAAAAATACAATAATATGTTTGAGAACAGGGATAATTCTGCATATATATTTAGGGAACAGTTCCAGGCTATTTAGGGACAAATTCTGCAAACACTTTTACTCATGTAATCAGACTCACTGAACTGAGTAGGACCTATTCAAGTAAGTCTTTGTAGGATTGGCCCCTTATAATGATGTGAATATATCAATTCAAGCAGTTAAAAAAATACACAATACTCACTCACTCACCAGGCCACAAAAGATCGTTGCTGCTATTATTTATGATCCACCATGAAACTATATGGTATTTATGGAAAAATTCTCATTTTACTTACCAGCCACATTTCAAAGTCTCACTTTCTCTGGTATTTTATATGTTAAAAATCTACCATTTTTAAAAAAATGCCATTTTTAATTAAGAGCAAAAAGCATCTTAAATTGCTAATCATATGTTTTGCTCCTAATATGAAAAGGTATTGACACTGCTTTGGAAAATACATAATCAAAAGACATAACAAAATTCAATACATACACAGACTAACCCTCCCCACTTTCCTCCACCCTAAATGCTTCCAGTATGGAAGTTGCAACACATCCTCAATTTTCATGTAGTTATGTACCACTTTGTATACTAGATAGGATACTTTCTTAACTAACATGATGTGACCATTAGAGATACAAGATGGGTGATGTAATATCTTTTACGGGACTACAGTGATGTGACTATCACTAAAAAACGATGCTTTGACAAGTACCTCTTTTTTGGATTTGAAGAGGTTAGTTTAAAGATATAGATAAAAACCTCTAAGCTATGTTCTGCTATTTCTCTCAGTCAGCAAATATTTGTGTCCACAGAAGGTACAAATAAAAAGACTGGTGTATTTCAACAATCAAAATCTTTAGAAGACCGTCAAAGTGTCAGGAGAATTTGCTTAAAACAGTTTACAAAAATAGAAAAGAGAATGAGCCCATCCTATTATTCAATAACCATGTTCGTGAGGCATCTGCAAAATCTAACCATGCATAAATTAGTATGTGTAATACAACAGTTATTTGCATAATAATAGCAAGTTAATAGATGCTTAAAGAGCACAAACCAACACCACCTTTAAACCAGACATGCCTCCAGGCACTCCAGCCTGTATAGACCAAACTACTTGGAAAACAGTGGTCAAAAACATATGCAACCATAACAAAAGTCAAATAAATCTTTGTATCACCTTAATTTTTTTTTATTTCCCAGAAAGAGGAATAAATTTAAGAATGACACCACAGCTTTTTACTCTGGATTTAAGTCATCCATCTTGCAATAATGTTTTAGAGTTAAGAACTTTATCAGAATTGGCCACTGTTTTTGGACACTGGTGATTTTTAGGAATAAGCATATAGGAAAAAGCCATATTCTCCATGGATGGGATTTTTCACAAATGTTCAGTATGAGTCTCATTCTGCCCTCACTGAAGTCAATGGAGTTTTATCATGGACTTCAATGGGACCAGAATCAGGATAATATTGAATTTAAAAATTGCACCTGTTATGGAAAATATTTGGCATTTTATTAGACTCTCTCAAGTAAGAGCATTAGAACCCCCGCCTCCCTCCCCAAAAAACAAAGCACCACAAAGCAACCATATCATCCCTACATTGCCTATTTCATTCCTGAAGATTTCACATCATTTTGCCAAAATTCATAATCTGAATTAAAAATGAAGAGGCACTACCTCCATCTTGCTCTATGAGTATTACTGGAGTAATTAAAACATCCTTTCATCTCACAATAAAACAATCATCAGTCTTATCATAATCTCTTCCTTCCTCCCAAGGGAAAAAAAGAATTAACATTTGCAAAAATAAAATTAAAAAAAAATCAACAGAGATATACTTCCGAGTGACTCCTTAAAGATACCAATTTTCAATTTAACAGGGCAGATTTATTTGTATGTGGCTCAAATGTTCACAGTTGCTCTCTGCACCTTCATACATAGGAATGAATGTCACAGTGGCAAGCAGCAGTAATGAACAATCTTACCTGAGGATATGGAAACCTCCCAAGAGCAAGCTGGGAAAGAAAATAATATTTGTCTAGTTATACAGATTTGCATGGAGGGCACATTTTCTTAAAGAGAGGAACGTATCCATCTCTCACTATTGTACAAATTGCAAAAGATATATGTGAGCAAAAAATCCAGAGAACACAATCAGACATCAGAGCTGTATTTAGAATGGAATTATTCACAGTGATTATGCTTTATTTACACACAAAATGATGGCTTTTTAAAAATAAAGTATGCACACCTTTTATTTTGACTTAACAAAAATCTATACCACCAGCTAGCACATGACATGTCCTAGTTTTCTAAGAGCTCCTTAAATGAAACCATCCAGTCCCGGTAGTAAGGCCAATGGCACTGATCTTTACTAATTATATCTGCAATGCATGGGTATCCACACAGCATTCACTAAACTCCCTAAATCCTGATTTAACACACACTGGGCTCAGGGTAAAATGTGGGCTGGATCAGAGGTCAGTCTCCTCCTTGGTTGTTTCAAAGTCTTTGGCCAGGAACGTTGGAGGAAGAGAGCGCACATGGAATCCAAAATATCATACATTGAATTTCTTTTACATTTTAGAATATATGCAAAATAGATTGGACATATTGCCAAACGCTGGTTTTAATGTTAATGCATACGTACCACAGTGCCTACTAGTGCCGACACAGGGTAATGTCTATATTTCCAAGTTGAATTTTTATTTTGTGCCTGGTTGGTATTTTAGCCTTACAGTACTTTCGTTAAACCACATTTTGGTCATTTTTTAATGATCAGAACAGATCTGTAATACCCACCAGCTGTTTCTCTTGTGCCACTGATTTACGACATAACGATGGACAAGACACAAGCACTTTTTAGTTCATGCACAAAAGCCAAAACCAAGACCGAAGTCCATTGTTTCTACTCTTGCAAATATCTCATGAGGAGTCCACACAACTGTGCCTAAGCACATATCACAGGGTAGGACACAAAATAGCTACAACACAAGCGTTGTTGTGAGGCTGAATTAGACCCGTAGAACTTAAGATAGAGGGGAGATATGATAGAGATATATAAAACCATGAGTGGTATGGAGAGGGTGAATAAAGAAAAAGTCCCATAATATAAGGACTAGAGGACACCAAATGAAATTAATGGGTAGCAGGTTTAAAACTAATAAGCGAAAATTCTTCACACGGCGCATAGTCAACCTGCGGAACTCCTTGCCAGAGGAGGCTGTGAAGGCTAGAACTATAAAGAGAAGCTAGATAAAGATAAATTCATGGAGGTTAGGTCCATTAAAGGCTATTAGCCAGGGGGAAGGAATGACGTCCCTGGCCTCTGTTTGTCAGAGGCTGCAGATGGACGGCCCAAGACAAATGCCTTGATCATAGTTTTCGGTCCATCCCCTCTAGGGCACCTGGTGCTGGCCACTGTCGGCAGACAGGCTACTGGGCTGGATGGACCTTTGGTCTGATCCAGTACAGCCATTCTTATGTTCTAAGATGGACAGAAGAAAAGGCACCATAGAAGCAGTACTATCTATCCCGATCAGACAAGGTCTTGTGTAAAAGGCATATGTGATAGGCTACCAAAAAAAGGGAGCTTCTCTGTTTTCACACAACCCAAAAAGAGCGACTTTGCTGTATTTAGTTATTATTGGTAATTAATTTCTACAGACATGCAAAGATAATGAGCTATAAAAGTGTTACTAGGTATGTACAGTAACTTTTTATGTACATTATGGGAGTTGCACGTAATAATCGCCATGCATCACTCTGAAGATTCATCGCAATCTTTCCCAGTGGGAGTTTGCACAGTGATCAAGGAGGAGTTGTTTTAGTTAATCATATCAATAATGTGTTGTTTAAGGGTCCCCACTAACACTGACATAACACAAATGTCTCAGAAAAACAGTGGGCTATTGGATCATTCATCATTTTCAGCCTCTCATTCAGATTTTTTTCTAAACCCCAAAGGAAATTACCCCTCCAAAAATGGATGCTAAAGGCTTGGTTTAAAAATCACAAAAGTGAGGAAATGAAAAATTAAGACCTCCACTGAGCCCTTCATTCGCCATCGAAAAAGAAACTATACAGCCATAATATGTATTCTCCCGCCCTCGCCTCACTAAAATCCCTCCTACAAATCTCACTTCTGCAGTGTAGATCCCAACACTAACCTACACTGTAAGCTGTGCTAACTTCACGCCAGAGGTCCAAGAAGGCAAGTCAGAACCCTCCACCATCCTCTAACCCAGCGTTTTCCAACCTATGAGTCGGGACCCAAATATGGGTTGCCTTTACATTTCAAAAGGGTCGCCAAGTGTCTCCCCAGGTGGCTCTGCCCTCCCTCCATTTTTGGATTGCGTTGGGCCACCAAGTCTTCTTGAATTGTCAAAATGGGTCCCTATCTGGAAAAGGTTGGGAACCTCTGCTCTAAAGAGAAGAATCCTAAGCTAATGTCTTCTTCTGGGTCTCTTCACTTTCTGCAAACTCTTTGGGGGGCAGAAACTGTCCTTAATTTTTATTTCTGGATGCAGCATTGATCTCAATGCAGTTATTTAACAAAATACATTCACCGTCAACAGCTCCAACAAGCGAAGGAAAATAAATGAGATGAAGGCTGGAGGCTACGTCTCTTTGGCTACGTCTAGACTGCAGTGCTAAATCGGAAAAAGATACACAATTTGTGGTACGCAAAATCTGTATCTTTTTCCAACTTACTTTTTCCGACTTACTCTACACGGCGCCAAATTTCGGAAAAAAGCGCTCTTTTGACACATCCCTTATGCCTCACAAAACGAGGTTTACAGGGATGGCGAAGAAACGTGCCCGCTTTTTCGACTTTTTTTGGAAAAAGCGGGCATGTTCCTTGGATACCGGAGGTATCCCGGAAAAGCAATGCAGTCTAGACGCAGCCAATGTCTGTACTGTCTGCCTCAGAGCCTTGAGACTTCTTGGCGGGTCGAACCTGTCAAGGCAGGGCCTGCCGTGAGGAACACAAGTGCCTTCTTCCCTTTACTGCTCATAGCGTAACTGTGACATGCCTACTGGCTGCTGGCCTATGGACTATGCATTACTGTTAGGCCAGCTAGAGTTGCCAGATGGTTTAACCAAAAATAACCGAACACTTCCCCCTTCTCCCCCCAAAAAACAACAACACCGGGAAAAATTTTGTTGAAGGAGAAACAAAAGGGGAAGACCAAAGTTGTGGAGCAAAAAAAAGGACCCTGAGAGTTAAGCAAAAAACAAACAAACAACAAAAAACAAACACAGCATTAAAACATGATTTTCTGCAAATGCTTTTAACGGAAAAGTTTTTCGTTAAAAGCATTTGCAGAAAAGAGCATCTAGATTGGCACGGATGCTTTTCCGCAAAAGCACTTTTAGCGGAAAATCGTCCATGCCAATCTAGACGCGCTTTTGCGCAAAAAAGCCCCGATCGCCATTTTTGTGATCAAGGCTTTTTTGCACAAAACAAATCTGAGCTGTCTACACCGGCCCTTTTGCGCAAAAGCTTTGCGCAAAAAGAACTTTTGCCCGAACGGGAGCAGCATAGTATTTCCGCAAGAAGCACTGATTTCAGACAGTAGGAAGTCAGTGTTCTTGTGGAAATTCAAGCGTCCAGTGTAGATAGCTAGCATGTCCCCTGCTTCACCCCTTCTCCAAGGACCTGCCCCCACTCGGCACATACCCCCGTCACTCGCTCACCCCCACCCTCACTCCCTCTCAGCAGGCTAGAGCAAGGGGGTAAGGTGCAAGCTCTGGACGGGAACATGGGTGCAGGACGCAGGCTCTAGGCTGAGGCTGGGGTGCAGGAGGGAGTTGGGATGGGGGCATCTACTTCAAGCAGTTCCCAAAAGCAACGGGCACACCGCTCCGCAGTGGCTCCATGGTGGGGGGGAGGGGAGAGAGGGGCTTTCTGTATGTCGCTGCTCACAGGCATCACCCCTGCAGTTCCTACTTGCCACAATTACCAGCCAATGAAAGCTGCAGAATTGGTGCTCAGAGTAGGGGCAGCATGAGGAGACTCCCCCCTCCCTGGGCGCTTCAGGGACTGCACTGGCTGCTTCTGGGAGTGGAGTGAAAGTGAGCAGGTAGCCTGCCTTACCCCTCAATGCTGCCAGGGTCTCTGCGCCCTTTATAATCACCCGGGCCTCTGGGTGTTTGCCCAACCTCCATCGGTGGGCCTGTCATCGATTAACACTACAAAATTTAAAAAAAACCCTAACCAAGATAGATTTCCTCAAAGAACTTCACAGGCAACACAACAACAGAGCAGAATGTGACAGTTCTGTGCCTCCTAGAGTCATTATTGTGTTGATGTAGTCAGAGGGCTTCTCCTCCCTTCCCCCAAGATTGTCAAGGTATTATAAATGAAGAAACTTACCAAAGAGTATGTAATCTTCCCTGAAATAGCCTGCAGATATGTCACTGTACTAAATGTGTTTCAGATTTAATGAAGCTTTAATGTCCTTTTTAATTTTGCCTGTTTCTATATCACCAGGGGTCGAGCAAGGCAATCAGCACTCAAGAGGGTGGTTTGGTTTAAAACTAGGAAAAACTCATTTGCTTATGAGTTGCACTGTATTTTCTTAATTAAATTTACTGAGTAAAATGGTTTAAGTTCAGCCAACCAATGACCTCTGGATGCGGATTTAGATTTATAAACAGGGTAACTGTTAAAGTAAAGGGAAAAAACAACTGAAAAACAAACAAATTAGAGCTATACCAATAGGAGTTTTGTACCCTTTATCATCTTTACTAAAGAAGTCATTTAAACATAAGCAGCAAAAGCCCAATGAAAAATGCAAAAGATATTAAATACAGAAGTAGAGGTAATCTATCAAAAAAATCTCTCCCATTCTCTACATTCACAGAAGGGAATTCAGAAAGGATTTAAAAAAAATCCGACTGGGTTTAAAACAAAACATTTTAATTCTGAACACTTAGGGTCTGGAAAGCATTGAGCATTGCACATGATCTTGGATATAAATGGAGAGAGAGAGAGAGAGAGAGAGAATGC